GCTTCCCCAGGCCACAGCAGAGAGCTGGATCGGAAATGGAGCAGCCAAGACTCGAACTGGTGCCCACATGGGATGCCAGCACTGCAGGCACTGGCCCCAGAGCTACACACATACTTGATAGCAATGTTGATTCCTGCTTTTGATACTGTCCTGTAGTTATGTAAGAGGGACCCACTGGGAGAAACTGGGCAGAGTCTTCACAGTACTTCTAAGTGCTACTTTTCCTATGAATCTATAGTTGTTCCAAAATAAAAAGCCCTTCAAACACTCAGATCAACTCAAATTTCTTCTAGTACTGGGAACTCAGTAGATCCTCCCGTGATGCCCCCTAAGGGAGACCCCAAGTACTGCAGTGACAACTCTTCTGTGTTGAGCCTCTGGGAGACACACAAGCATCCACTCCTGCGGCTGTTTCTTCATGGTCCTTCTCAAGGGCAGCCAAGGGCGGAACGGGCAAGCACAACATAGGAACAGGGGCCAAACCTGCCCAGACTCACCCAAGGCGCTCTAAGGGGTCCATCCACGGCCCCTTCTCCATCCCACCACTCCTGGCTCTTGGGTGTTCTGCAGCCCAGGGCCTCCCAAGGCAGAAAGGGGGTTGAAGTATGTTCAAGCCATGGGACAGGATGAAACAAAGCAGGGGGGTGTGGTTGAGGCCGGGGGACTGACCCCCTGCATTCCTCTGTACACAGTGTGGCCTCAACAAGATCGTTGTATCAGTTCTGCTTCTCCAAGAATGGGAAAAACACGCAGCCACTGTCACAAACAAAGCAGCATGATCAGGAAGAGATGCAAGGAGCAATCTGAAGTGCTCCCTCCGTCTGCTCTGTGTCAGTGCGACAGTGTGGCGATGGTTGGGTGTGTGTTGAAGCTCCCTGTGCCGCGAGCGAGGTAATGACGTCATAGCTCTGACATCATAGGAGGGAGCCCTTACGGCTGACTTACCCTGGCAACCACAGGGAGATCTGTGGTCAAGGCTTAGGTCAAGGGCACCACCTTCGGAAGGGGTTCAGGCAGTTCTGGCAGCACTGGGTTAGCTCCCATGAGAGCGATGGTTGCAGAACAGTGCGCCCAGCCCGCTGGCCCTTGCTTCCTCGCTTGCACACACGCCCCTTCTGCGTTCCCCTTTCTGCTTCGCCACCATGCTGGGATGCAGACTGAAGGCCCTCGCCGGAGGCTGAACGGACGAGGCCGCTCCATCATGGACTTTCAGCCTCCAGACCTGTGAGCTCCCTAAACCTCTTTTCTTTAGAATCACCCAGCTTCAGGTAGTTGGTGATTGTGACTCAAAACGGATCGAGACAGCATGGCCAGGAGAGCACGAGAGGTCAAGGGGGCTCTGAGCGCCAGCTGGGGCGGGGGGAAGGACTGTGTGATGCCTGACCACTGGCTGCTGTGGTTCTCCCCTCCACACACACACACATACACACACACACACACACACCAAGGTGCTGCTCCCTGGAGTCCAAGGCCCAAATAATGCCACTTCCGCATGCAGGAGGGCGGTGGCGGAATCCTGCAGCCCAGGCATCTGTCTTCCTGACTTCCAAACAGGTGGCTGCAAACGGAAAAGTTAAGTCCAAGATGCCTCCCCAGGGTTGGAGGTTCAGGAAGCTGGGGCCGTGGGCCACGACCTGGAACTGGCTCTCCCAGGGCAGAGGTCCGCAGGGCCCCTCAGGTGCCGCTGGGAGAGCTGCTGTTTCCAGTTCTTCCCCAGACTTCCTGCCCCACTGGGCTGCCCCGCTGCTGGTGGGCTGGCCATGCTCTCCCTCCCCTGGGCCCTGGCTCTGGAAATTTCCTGACATTTGCACAGCAGGGACCAATCGACCACTCTTTCTATAAGATAACCTCAGTTTGGCCCTGAAGGAAGGTTGAGTTTTAAGGAGAAACAGATCTCCCTGTGGCTGCCAGAGTAAGTCAGCCATAAGGGCTCCCTCCAACCTTCACCTTCCACCCCCATAACTGCAGGGCAGGCCTGGTTTTCATTGAGAGTTAGTGCTGGGGGATGGCCTGCTCCCCTGCCGCCTCCAAATGACACAGGCAACAGAGGCAGTCTGTATATTAAACACAATTGTGCTCATTGCTGCCGGAGGAGGTAGGCAACCCCTCTCCCCGCCCCCACACTTGCAGGCTCTCCACATGTGGTTCAGGTGGCGCCAAGTGCCCTGCAGCCACCACGGCCCCCTAGGTCCCAGCTAGGGTGTGCGGGTGTGTCCCCAGGGCCCCGGGAACAAGCCCACCATGGGAGCCACACCACGCTGATGGTGAGGGCAGGGTGGCAGAGTGGTTAAGGCCTCTGGTTCCAGAGTCTCACCTCTGTGCTTCTTCTCTGCTCCACCTGTCTTTTGCGTGTCCACACACGCGAGATTGGCATCACGAAGCCTTTTTTTCTTCCCCATCAGTGGAGACGAGCAGAACCCACCTGGTAGGGCTGCAGGAAGGACTTCGTGCAAGGAAAATCCCCGAACCGTCACGCAGCTCAATTCCTGCTAGCTGCCCCTGGTGTCCTTTGCACATTGCTATTGGGGTGAACTGTTGCTCTCCTGAGCACTAGTAACTACGGCTCATGGGACTGGTGGGGCATGTGAACATGCCAGACCACTTGTTGAGGCAAGAACAGATCCACAGCTCTCTGCTATGCCTGGGAAAGCAGTGGACAACGTCCCAAGTCCTTGGGCCCCTGCACCCATGTGGGAGACCTGGAAGAAGCTCCTGGCTCCTGGCTTCGGATCAGCTCAGCTCTGGCTATTACGGCCATCTGGGGAGTGAGCCAGCAGATGAAAGACCTCTCTCTCTGCCCCTCTCTCTCTCTCTCTCTCTCTCTCTGCCTCTCTCTCTCTCTCTCTCTTCCTCTCTGTAGCTCTTCTTTCAAATAAATAAATAAATCTAAAAAGAGAGAGAGAAGGAGAAGAAAAAGAAGAAAGGAAGGAAGTTAGGAAGCCAGGAAGGAAGGAAGGGAGGGAGGGAGGGAGGAGAATGGACCCAGCACCGGCCAACCCCAGAGACCAGCATGGTGCACAAGCTCTGCTCCTGAGCTTCACCCTGTGTCATCCAACAAAGCCCCGCCTGTGGAGCCGCTCTTATTACCCACTTTCCCAGGAAAGGTGAAAACCTCCTCTCCGCACTCCCCCTGCCCCGCCTGCCCCCGTTAGAAAGCAGCTAGGGGGAAGTGGACCTGCGTCCTCCCAGTGCACTCTCCCCACCTTAAACCAACACAGTTTGTGTGGGGCTTTGCAACAATGTCCACAAAACGGATTGGTTAGTTTGCCCCAGCAAACAGGAACCTGGAAAATGGCAGACCCTCTGGCTGGATGTCCTCTGTTGTCACCAGGTCACGCCTGTCATAAGACGGTGCAGCACATAGCACGCTGGGAGGGTGCAGGGTACTCCTTGGGAGGAGGAACTCACCCTTCCAACAGCAATGCCCCTGAGACTGGGTGGCCCCAGGAGGGAAAGGCTTCAGCGACTTTAACTGATGGGATTTCCAGAGCCCAGCTGTGCCTGGGGCTACACAAACTTGTACCTGGTTTCAGTGGGGCTAAGTACAGATATCTCCAAACTCCCATCTTAGAATTACTACGGATCAACCGAGGTAAGGACTAGGATACTCGGGTTATTAAGAGTTAAGAACAGCTCTTCACTGTGCTGGGCACCTCCGACCTCAGTGCGGTTAAATCATCAGCAGGTGAGAAATGATTTCTATCTATCTATCTATCTATTGATAGATGCTGCCGTAAACTCACTGATTTTTAGGGACTCGGGTGGGGGCACCCAAAGGGACCAGCCTCCTCCAGCGTCCTCCTCCAGCCGTCAGACACCTACTCTGGAAGCCCCTTCTTGGTGAGAACGGAGGGAGACTGTCTCTTGCCCTCAGCCCTCCCCCCCCCAGCCTTTGCCTCAACCCTTGCCTCAATCCTAACTAAAAATACCCACATTTCGACAGCTGTCTGCTGAAACTTCTCTACAATGCTTGAAACAGTTAAGGAGCGTGAAGATTCTGAACTGCCTTAAAACTGCTGTCTGATGCATACCCAGCTGTGCGCTCCATTCCGTCTTTATTTACCGTGGGGTGGGGAGACAGCAGAAGCAGGAGTGGGGAGCCCAGCGCCGCCACCAGGAACAATCTGAGAAAGGACATGGTGGGGTCCACTCTGGCCTCCAGACCCTCTTCCGTCCCCCACACGGAAGCAGCCCACATAGACCTCCTTCCTGGCTTTGCACCCCCTGGATGCATCATTGGAGGCTTTGCCCAGCTCCATGGTACCACACGACTGTGGGCAATGACCTCCGTGCCCCACAAGCCCAAGCCCGACCCCAAGAGGGCTCTGGTGAGAGTCCTGCAGCCTCCCACTTCTTACCCAGCAACATCACCAGTGCCTGTGTCTGGTTCCTCCTCAGGAACCAACAAAACAGCCAGAGTGTGGACTCAACCATTCAGGGGCCCTTGCATTCCTGAGAGCGGAAACGCACTTCCCACCCCATCCTCACCACGGTCAGCACCTCATCGTCTCTCTATCTGCAGCTCCCCATAACTAACCCGGGTCAGGCACCTGCTTACACATCTCCGAACGGACCCAAGGGCCATCTGCAGACCAGGAAGCCTGGTCCAAGCATGCAAGCTGGTTGCCGGTCTCTCCAGCCTCTCAGAGAGGTGGGCAGGTGGCACAGCACAGGAGGGAAAACGTCCCTCGGCCACCCATTCCAGGGCGAGGTGGGCTCTGACCCGCGCAGTCTGGGAGAGACCACAGCGTGTCCCCGGCGGGATGCCACCCCTCGCACCTCCAAGCCAATGCCCGCAGGAGACGCCACGGGGTTCCTCGGGATGCGCCGTGCGCTGTTTCAGCCCGAGAGCACGCAGCTTCCTCGCCGGGTGCCGGGACTCGGACTCGGTCCCGCTCCGGACCCTGGCGACGGCGTGTGAACGCTCGCACCCGCAAGCGTGCGCCCAGACCCCGGGGCTGCGACCCGGGATCCCGCGGCGCCCCGACGACTCCACTCACCTTAATGTTGCCGAAGACAGAGCGGGGACAGCGGCCGGCTCGGCCAGCGGAGGCGTCGCTGCCCCGGCGCGCGCTGAGCTCGGGCAGGAGCCCCATAGTGGCGGGCGGCGTCCTCTATGTCCCGGCCGAAGCGGTGGCTGCAGGGCCCGGGGCTACCGCGAGCAGGGGCTGGGGGGGCCGGGGCAGGCGCGGCTGGGCCGGCGGGCGGCGAGCGCGGCGCGCAGACTGAGCGAGGGAGTGCGCGCCCAGAAGTTTTTATAAAGCGGCCGCCGCCGCCGCCGATGAGGAAACGCGCGCTCCCTCCTCCCCTTTCGCCGCCGGTGTCCCAGGCCCGAGCCCCCGCCCCCGCCGTGACCACCCCTCGGACAGGTGTGACGCGGCGGCCCGCAGCGCGCGCCAGCGACCTTGGCCGCGACCCGCGGACTGAGCGCTCCGGGAAGGACCCGCCTGCCCCGAGGGGCGGGGGAGGAGCGGGGCGGCGGCCCAGGGAGCGGCCCCGCGGCTGCGGGGGGCCGCGGCTGCAGGGGCGGGGTCGCCCCGGGACTGGCGGGGCCAGGCGAGGAGACTAGGAGTGCCGGGGCGGGAGAGAGCTGGAGAGAGTCGGGGGCGGGGCAGCAAAGGGGCCTCCAGACGCGGGGAGGGGAGGCACCGCGTAGGGAGCGGGGGTCCCAGCGCAGTGGGGAGCCGCCGCGCCCCGACGCCCTGGGGAGATTTACGGAGCTGGCTTCGGCTTGTTTGCACTCGCCCCGCAAACCTGTGCTCTCAGTTCCGGTGATGGCTCCGAGGCTCTGTTTGTGCTGAAGACTGATTTATATTCGCACTGCTCTTTGCACAGCAGAGGGGGCGGGTAACACGGTGGAGAGGTGGGGGCCGCCCGGGGCTGGGCCCCGACTCCCTGGCCCCTGGCCAAGGTAAACTGCAGGCGCTGTCGAGTGTCAGCGATGTCGCTGGTCTGGCCTGGCGTGCTGCGGGGGAGGAGAGCCCTTGGACAAACGCGACGCACCCCACTGACCTTCCCGGGGAGGGAGTGAAGAGCAGATTTATTATTATTATTTTTCTCCCTGAGAGTTTCTCCCACCAGGATTCTGACGGGGAAGAAGGTGAGGCTTTTCCAGAAGGTTCTGCCAAAAGCCATTGCTTCAAGAATCCAGTTCTGGAGGCGCTTTCCAGCTCCGTAATTCCTCAGGTCCCCTGCAGAGTCCACCCCACCACCAGGAGAAAATGCTGGTCCATTCCAGGAAGCGATTGCTTCCACTCAGGGCGTCATGCCTTTCTGCCTCTGGCCTGTGTCCAGGGGCTCCTCCTCTCCACCTGCAGCCCCAGGAGCAAGGACATGGCCTTATCCTGAAGCTGGTGGTCTCACTCACCCACAGAGCGTGGTGGATGGGTACAAGGCCTACAGAAGCTACAGATTTGGAAGAGGCACTGATGTGAAGTTGCTGGTCTGTCCGCTTCAAGAACTCAGGACCCTAGGACAGCTACCACCCCAGGGTCACCATGAGTGCTGAGTGTAACAGACGTGGCGCTAGCACCCACATGCACCAATGCCTGCAGTCCAGCATCTGCCATGCAGTCAGAGGTGCTGTTGGGGGCCGGGCTCCATGGACAAGATGCCAGAGAGCCTACCTACACAACGGCTGCAAGCTGTGCATCTGTGTGGTAGGTGGTGGGGTAGGGCCCTGACCTCAGCTGTGCTGACCCCAAGCCTGACCTGAAGGGTTGTTCAAGAAGTCCTCCAGTTCACAAGTGCAAGCAACCAGGGACTGGAGAAGGCCTGGGCCAAGGTCACAGGCACACAGGGCCACCATGGCTGCAGCACCTTCCTGCTTGCTCTGGCAGAGTCCCAGGGAGCATCGGAATCTACAGCCCTCACCTCACCCAGCTGCCTTAACCTTGCCGTCCACCGTGGTCAGGGCCAGCATCACTGCCAAAGGAAGAGTCTGTTTGGGAAATGCTTCCAAGTGGAACTCAGCTAACTATAACACAGATCCAGCTGGAGACTGAAGGGGCGGGTGCTGTGGCACAGCAGGTAAAGCCGCCACCTGCAGTGCCAGCATCCCATATGGGCGCCGGTTCAAGTCCCGGCTGCTCCACTTCCCATCCAGCTCTCTGTTGTGGCGTGGAAAAGCAGTAGAAGATGGCCCAAGTCCTTGGGCCCCTGCACCCATGTGGGTAGACCTAGAGGAAGCTCCTGGCTTCAGACAGGTGACTGAAATGAGATTCATGTGTCTGAAATCATAAATAGGTAGGCCAGGGTGGGATGTGACCTAGGCCCATTCAGAATTCTTGGTATGTGGCTCTCATCCCTACGCCCCACCTCCAGCTTCCTCTCCTAATTCCAGGGAAGAGGTAGAAGACAGGAACCAGGAAGAGGCAGTGTTTACATCGGGGAAGCAAATCATGTGCAGCCGCTTTTCCTTACGTCTTGGGGGCCCACACTGGGTTGCAAAAATTCCCTCTGCAAAGGATGTCAGGAAATAGAGTATACACTCTAGCTGCATCCTGAGCGAGGCTGGGATTCTAGTAGGGAAAAGGGGAGAAAAGATTTGTATCTTGCAGTGTCTATACACAGAGTAAGTAACCCGCTTCCTTATAAGAGCACACCAGGTCTGCCTTCAACACTGTCCATCCTTCAATTTCAGCAAATAGTTCCTAGCACTGAACACACACACACACACACACACACACACACCTGTGCAAGCACACATGCACGCAGACACACATGTACACATACATATTGCACACACACATGTGCACACACAGATGCACACATACAGGGAGAACAGCCGCTGACTTCAAAGGCTCTCTGGTCTCAGGATAGGGAGCAAGAAGAAAACGCATCAGTGCATGGAAGAGGGCCCCTAACTTACTCCGGGTCACAGGAAGGCATTTTGGGGGGTTCTGACTGTCCGGCTGGCCCTCTGGACTGAAGGAGGGTAAATCTGTCCCCAAGGTTCCAGGCCCAGGACAGTGCAACCATGAGCAATGGCGGTGGGGGGGGGGGGCGGTGGCTGCAAGGGGCACACTGGCAAGCTATTAAAGGTGACTGAGGGCTGGCGCCGTGGCTCACTAGGCTAATCCTCCGCCTTGTGGCACAGGCACACCGGGTTCTAGTCCCGGTCGGGGCGCCGGATTCTGTCCCGGTTACCCCTCTTCCAGGCCAGCTCTCTGCTGTGGCCAGGGAGTGCAGTGGAGGATGGCCCAAGTACTTAGGCCCTGCACCCCATGGGAGACCAGGATAAGTACCTGGCTCCTGCCATTGGATCAGCACAGTGCGCTGGAGGGTGAACCAATGGCAAAGGAAGACCTTTCTCTCTGTCTCTCTCTCTCACTGTCCACTCTGCCTGTCAAAAAAAAAAAAAAAAAAAAAAAAAAAAAAAAAAAAAAAAAAAAGAAAGAAAGAAAAAGAAAAAGAAAAGGTGACTGAACCAGCTGTGTCACGGGGACCTCCCTGGACCATGTGAGAGAGGCCCAGGTGATCCATAGGGGGAACCCCAGGAGCAAGGCCTGTTCTGCAGCGGTGGGGTACTGGTGCCAAGCAGAGAAGGGCTGGGGCAGTGCTGGGGGGAGCTGGCCCACACGTGTCAGGGAGGAGACTTCAGCAGTGACTCCCAGGCCTGGCTCTGGTGTCTGGACATCTGGTGATGTCCACCCTGAACAGAGGAGCAGCAGCTATTGGGGGAGGCCAGTGGGTCCCCCAGGGCTTTTTTGGGGGCTCACACTCTCTGGAATACATGTAAGTAAAAGTAGAGATGCCCAGCAGACACGTGGGTGTGCGGGTGCAGCGTTCAGGGTGCGTGTTGGGCTAGACATGGGGGCTGGGGATCCCACATGGAGGTGGTCATTGAGCCTGGGGAGGGGGGACTCTCCCAGTGAGAACGTCTGGGTGACTAGCAGGTCCCGGCTGGGCCATAGCAACCTCAAAGGTGTCCTGGGGCTGGGATAGTGAAGGGGCGGAAGTCAGGGAAGGGGAGCGCTGCTAGAGGCCAGGGGCAGTGTTGCAAAGAGAGAAAGGGGGTGGGATCCTATCCAGGACACTGAGGGTGGTCCTCGGTGGGGCAGTGACCAAGGGCCTTGGCAAGGGTGTTTCCACCTGGACACTGAGCGGAAGCCAGACCACATGGGTTGAGGAGGACCTGGATGGGAGAAAGGACCATCAGGACCCACCCACACCTTCCCCAAGGCTGCAAAAGGTAGGGGAGAGGCACAGAGTCATGGAGAGCTTCAGGCTGTTTGCTCTGCCCCAAGTTGTCTCTGGCTCTTGCCCACACTGTCCCCCGCTGCCTGCACTGCCTGGTTCATGATGTGGTTTCTGCACTTTAAGGAATGGCTTAAGTCATTTATTGCTTGTTCTGGGTCCCCATGACAACAGTCAAAACATGCCTTGCAGGGACAGGCCAGTCACATACATCACCACTTGTCACTCAGGAAACTCGAAGTCATCATCTCCATTTTACAGATGAATAAACTGAGGCTTGGGACTCTCCTAGCACTCACAGTATGCTCCTGTTTTTATGGCCACGGCCAGGACAAAACGTATGGTGGCTGCATGCATGTCAAAGACGCTGACAATCCTTCACACGAGCTGTGCTACCCTAGACGGCTTGCTTAACCTCTAGATTCTCAGTGGCTTCTGGCCACACAGTGTGCACCTCACAGAGTTACATGACAGCACATGGGAGAAGGGGTATAGCGTGCCTGGGGCAGTGAGCCCTGGGTGCAGGCAGCTGCCCTCGCTGAGCTGGGTGGTGGTGTTTCTTGCCTTTTCCTCCAGCTCCGCTGTGAGCTTCTTGGGGACAAAGGTTCTCTTGGTGTCCCGCATTTCCCCAGCACATCTCATTACTTAGAAATATTTATTAAGGGGCTGGCGTCTTGGCACAGTGGGTTAAGGCCACCACTTGCAGTGCTGGCATCCCATTCTGGAGCACGGGAGTAAATCCCGCTGCTCCACTTCTGACCCAGCTGCCTGCTAATGTGCCTGGGAATGCAGTGGAACATGGCCCATGTGCTTGGGCTCCTGCACCCCCATGGGAGATGCAGATAGGGTTCTGGGCTCCTGGCTTTAGCCTGGTCCAGCTCTGGCCATTGCAGCCATTTGGGGAGTGAACCAGAGGATAGAAGACCTCTTTCTCTCTCTGTATCTCCCCCTTTCTCTGAAACTCTGCTTTTCAAATAAACTAAATAAATGAATCTTTTGTTAAAAATTATTTTTTATTATTTACTTGAAAGTCAGTTACACGGAGAGAGAAGGAGAGGCAGAGAGAGAGGTCTTCCATCTGCTGGTTCACTCT